GGAGGACCTAGCAACTCCTAAAATCATTGGGTCTCAAAAGCAGGAGCATTGGATCCTTGACAAGAAGAACAAACAGCTCATCCGTGTTCACATTACGCCTCGCAAGGCGTTGTTCACACCAAATGGAGCCAAGAAATGTCCAATCAATCCTGATAATATCAGCCGAGAGCGTACTACGGAAATCATTGATGCATCCGAAGGTGGAGATCCAGACATCCTAGAAGACAATTGCAGACTTACATCCCAGGCAAACAAACCGATGATTAACCTGTAGATAGGTAAGACCATTTTCACCTTCGCGCACAATTCGCTTAAGGACGAAGAAGCAGGTTCAGGATCGGCAGCTGACAGGCCTCTGCTCACATTGTCACAAACTTTCGCGATGGCGGAGGCGTCGATGCTGCCCTCCGCAGTGAACCACTGCATGAGTGTGCCGATTTCCGCTCGGCGGCCAAAGCCGCTCCCCGGTTCTGCGCCATGGACATTTGCATCCCTGTGCATGCCGCCTCCCGCCAGCAACTGGCGTTTGGGCGGCCGCACGACCTACGCGCAAAAGATAGTGTTTCGCACACCAAGACGTTCTAGCGGTGTCCTTTGCATGCGTGCGTGCATGCTTGTGCGCGCATGTGTGAGTGTGTGTGTGTGTGTGTGCGCGTGTCTACGGCGGCTTTTGCTGCCAAATTGGAAATTAGCGCAGTGACACAGGGGCTCACCGCAGAGGGCAGTATAGACGGCTCTGTCATTGCGAAAGTCTGGCACCATGTGAGCTGGCCTCCGGGCCTATTCCGCACAAGAGAGTGTTCTTCAAATCGCCGAGACGGTCCCAGCCCTTCAAGGCGACATTATGAAAAAGGGCCATGGCAATCAGGCCCGGCGCGAAGAACGATGAGGCGGTCAGGCCCCAAGCGATGTTGAGGGTGCGACGCATGTGACTGGCTGTCAAAATGTGTTTCCCAAGTTGTTTGAAAATGATCGTTTCCACGCGGCCCGTATCATAGCGGGCTTATGTTTCAATCGCATTGGGACCACATTGCTTCTAAGAGCACATTTGCAGGTTGTGTGGCAGGCATACTAGCACTTGGCTTTTCAGTCGGAGCTAGCAGAGCTTGAGCTACTACTCGGCTGTTATTGTCATTATCGCTCCTCGTTGCTCGAACGATGCGTCGATACATTGAACGCTTTGCTTGAACTTCGGGCAACCCGCCCTGACAGAAACACTACAAACAAGCAGAAGCCAGCGAGTAATTCCGAACACCCCTTCAAAGTGCATATGCGCGCGCTTGCGCGGAGCGCGCGCGTGGGTAGGTGCGCGCGTGCGAAGGTGCGTGCACGCGCGCGCACGGGAAAATGTTGAGATAGCACAGGCGCTGCCTCTGTAGTAAGACCAGAACACCAAGCCACGCTGCAGTGACGCAGCCGCAACATGCAACGCAGCAACCCGAACCACTTGTAACTGCAACTCCTGATCGGGGAATGGCGCAAGGGACGCATTTCCATCCTCGTGCCAGCCTTCTCGTCAGCTTGGCTCAGCCTTCTGCTCGGCTGCTGCCTGTTCAGCCGTGTTGCTCCAAGGGAGGAGATGTTGCACGGCTTCCGTTGCCATGCGGATGATTCCGGAAGAGTTCGTCGCCCCCGGATGCAGCACGAACCACATCGCGCTCGAGATCTGAATGGATGGAGCCAGCTCGTACCGAGCCTGCGGCACCAGCCCTGCCGCCATGGAAAATCGCGCTGCTAACGCCCACTGCCAACAAACGCCCAGGGTGCAAGGCAGGCGCTGCGGGGCACAAGCGCTCAGCATCGGATGCCGCAAGCTGTGGGCAGGCGCGGAAGGCGTGCAGCTGCTCGTCCTGAGCAGGGCAAGTGTTGCAAGGAGCTGCTGACTTTGCTTCGGGCTCGCTAACCAGTGCTGAGATCTTGGAGAAAGCATTGCCACCTAATCTGCTGGCCGGCGCGCAAGTAGTCAAGCACACGCTAGATAAACCTTTGCAAACATGGTCACACACACACACATGCTCACGCCAGATTGCCCTTCGCTGTCCGCTCTCCACAATTTACAAAATAAAAGCTCAACCGTGAACACATGTAACTATATGTATGAATACAACCATAGATGCGTATAAAGGTTAGCGAAATGCCTGTAGATAAACAGTTGAAAGTAAACAAACACATGTCCTTCCCTGAACCAAGCTGGTGCATGTCTTGGCGGACTCAAATTGAAAGGCCACTGCAACGTCAGCAGCGCCGAGCACTTCTGGGTCCTGCCAATGTCTCAAAGATATCAGAATCACGGCGCTTCCAAGTGCCCGTTTCTGAGCTTCTGAGGGCTGAGAGATTCCACCGACGCATGGCTTCAGAGTCTCCACACTGTCAGACTTCAAACTTCTGAGAGCTGAGTAGATTCCACAGGTGCTTCGCTTCAGAGTCTTTGCGCTGGCCGATTGCCAAGTTCTGAGAGCTGTATAGATTCCACCGATGCATCGTTGCCAGTGTTAACTCTAACAGCCCTCCTTTCTCTCTTGCGAACAAATGTTCAAAGCATTGTACACGAGGCCATTAAACTTACCATAATGATATATATATATATATACACATATGTATATGTATATATATATATATGCACGAGTGCATCCTCAAGACTGGTACTTCGAATCTTATTTCGGACTTAGAGTCCTGTTTCAAAACCTCCACAGTATAGAAGGAAGTGGAAAGGAAGGAAGGAAGGAAGGAAGGAAGGAAGGAAGGAAGGAAGGAAGGAAGGAAGGAAGGGAAGGAAGTCCGGGAAAAAGGCAAGCCAGCAACAAAGGGAGAAACAATAGAACGGACAGTGTCTGCTCTCTTTTTTTTCTCGCTTCTCGGGGACAACCGGGGGGGGGGGGGGAGGGGGGGTGGCGTGCTGGAGTTCAAGTTCGAGCTTCTGCTTCTGCAGTTCGAGTTCGAGATTCTGTCTCAGTTCGAGTTCGGGTTTCTGTTTCCTGTTGCATGCTCCGGCAGATGGGGCGGGAAAGGCGGGAGGCAGTTTCTGTTCGAGTTCAAGTTTCTGCTTTTGTTTCTCTGCTCGGGGACAACCGGGGGGGGGGGGCGGAGCAATCAAGGAAGAAGAAAGGAAAGGAAGGGATACAATGAATGGATAGGAAGGAAGGGAAGGAAGTCCAGGAAAAAAACAAGCCAGCAACAGGGGAAAAAGCAATAAAACTGACTGTCAGTTTCTGCTTCTGTTTCTCTGCTCGCGGACAACGGGGGGGGGGGGGGTTGCGGGCTGAAGTTCGAGTTCGAGCTTCTGCTTCTGCAGTCCGAGTTCTGTTTCCTGTTGCATGCTCCGGCAGATGGGGTGGGAAAGGCGGGAGGTAATTTCTGTTCGAGTTCAAGTTGCTGTTTTTGTTTCTCTTCTCGGGGGGGGGGGGGGGGCGGGCCGGAGTTCGAGTTCGAGTTTCTGTTGCTGCAGTTCGAGTTCGAGTTGCTGTTTCAGTTCGACTTCGAGTTTCTGTTTCTTCGGTGGGGGAGGGGGTTTGGCGGGCTGGAGTTCGAGTTCGAGCTTCTGTTTCTGCAGTTCGAGTTCGAGTTTCTGTTTCGGTTCGAGTTCGGGCTTCTGTTTCTTCAGTTTGAGTTCGAGTTTCTGTTTCAGTTCGAGTTCGCGTTTCTGTTTCTGCTTCAACTCGCCCTCTAGTTTGGTTTCAGTTCGAGTTTCGAGTTTTTTTCCCGGCGGGGGGTACTGTGGAGTTCGAGTTTCTGTTTCTGTTTGCTCGGGAGAATGCCAGCATGGATTCTCACCGTTGGATTAGAACCCTTCCCTTCGGCACGGAGCCTGTGGTTTCCTCACCGTCACCCTCTGGCTTGGCCATGACCATTGAACCATGCACCCTTTCCGGCAACACACCGGGCGCTTCCGACACAAACCACGAGACTGGAGTTGATGGAGAAGGAAGAGAAGCAGAAGTCATATTTGTGTTTCCAAGACTAGAGCGGCAAGGGAACCGGTCGGCGTCCGGGTTTCCTGTTGAAACCATCCAAGAAGAGGTTCAACCCCTTTAGAGACACACCCAAATCATCCAACACACTCACATGCCACGAACAGATGTCAGGCTGGTTGAATTTGGACACCGTTTGTTGCATTCGGATTTTGACGTTTGACCGACAGCCGCAGGCCCTGGTTGAATTCGGGCAGCGAATTTTCTAGGGGCAACTTCCCATTCTTACCACAAATCCTGTTTTCTAGAAAGCCACCGAAAAATGTGGGGAAATGGCGACCGGTTTTTGAAAAGAAGGGTGGCTGAAAAGAACAGAAATGGAATCAACCCCTAGAAGAATATCTGGGTCCAGTAGAGAGGAAATGGAATAAGGGCTACCCGATGTTTGTCAGGAAATGGAATCACCCCCTCGAACTTTGGGCGACGCTTCGGTGTCGGACGGCGTCTTTCGCCTCGCGACTCGCGAGGATGGCTCGTGCCTGGCAGTGGGCCGGCCTCGAGGCGGAGCGAAGCGGAAGCTCGATTTGAAGTCGACTCGGACTGGTTCTTCGGCTATGGGTTTGCCAGCTAGGTGCCCTTTTTCACCCCTTTTTTGGTGGGGAGGGTTGCCCTACTAAAGTAGACTGCAGAAAAAAGGGGTACTGGAGGACCTAGTAGGGAACAGGAGGTTGGTGTGCAGGGCAGGACTAGTTCCATGCAAAATTTGCCTGGTGTTTCTTTTGAATGACTTGTCGCACTGGAGATTCCCACATGGTTCCTTTTTTGTTCAGGAGGTTTAAAAAACGCAATCTTTGCCACGAGATGAGATGTCTTCTTCAGAACATGATATAGGCGAAATGTAGTGAGCCCTGGGGATCTGCCCAGGAATCCACACGGAATGACTCACTCCCTCTTTCCCTGAGAACCTGCAAACATCGGTGGCAGCGTCCAAAACCTCCGTGTACATGTTTAGTAAGAGTCGTGTCAGATCGACCAGCGCGTCAGCAAAACTCCACGCGCGTACGGTGGCGTAAGCAGAATGATACAACATAGAACATCATGACACGTTTAGGACATGGCTCATTTGAATCCCGGAAGTTTGGGCGAACTGTGTAGGAACCTCGCCCCCAGCTCTCCGCTCAAGAAAGCGACGTCAGGTCTTCTATTTGCTTCCGAAGAAGGGTTTTCTCTGCTGACCTTGAAAGGAATCTGATATATGTTAATTCCAGGGGACTTAAGCAAATGCACAAGGTGTTTTTTTCCCAGGAGAATGCAACAGGGAAGTTTTCTGGGGAGCAGGGTTGCTCCGGACCTCAAAGCAGATATTCGACCAAAGACGGTGGGTCTTTTGAGAGCCCGGTCCGCTCCAGATTCCTCAACCGGCTGGTTTCTTGTTTGGGTGTGTTTTCCCCGCCCGATTTTATGATGGGCTTTGTTCACTAGGTGGGGGCAAGGTCCCAGCCAGGTACGGATTGACATTCTAAGGCGCTGCGAAAACAAGCCGAAACTAGGGATTGGTTCTTTGCATAATTGTTCGGGCTGAGGTCCCCGAAATCTGATAATCTGAATCTCTCATGTGCAGAGCATCTCATCCCAAAGATTGTATTCCGATGTTTTCCATGTACAGAACCTCTGTGAGTTTTCTGGAGTAATTGTCCGAAGTTCAGCTTGGACCAGGACTTGCCCAGATGACCGCGCGGCTTGGGCTAGAATGCTCTTTTGGGGGCAAATGGGACGAAGACACAGAAAACTACCTTTCGTGGGCAGAAGTAGCCCAAGAAATTCACTAGGTCCCCCAGTAGTGCCCTTTTACCCTTTTTTGGGGGGAGGGTTCCCCTACTAAAATAGACAAAGCCGAAAAAAATAGTCTAACCTCTCAAATCTGGACGGGAAAGCTTCCCTTTCCAAGGGCTTGGGTGAATCAAGGCACGGCCATGGTCCTTGCTGCGTCAGGTTTCGACATCTTCAGTACAGAGTCCACTGCCCTCCTTCATCGAGAGGACAGTGCGAGAAAGAGAGAGAGAGAGAGAGAGATACGTGCCAATGAATTTCAATCGCGAACCACCTCGAAAGTGGGTCGGTGAACCTAAATCCCCACCTAAATGATGTCCACCAAAGGCTCACCAATTCAAATTCACACGATGTGTGTATGTGTGTGTGTGTGTGTCAGAGGTTTGCCTGTTTAGCATCTGGCTGCTTCCAGCATCTTGAGTGTGGCTGGAGCCTTTGCCTATTGGGGTCCTTTAACAAAATGTCACTGTGTGCATTCGTCCAGACGGGGACTCCGCCAAAGGAAGTTACCCTTAAGGTTCACCAAACTTGGAGCAGACTCAGGCTCAGTTTTGGGTTGGGGGAAAAAGCTTGAGGTACCAGCACTCACCGGTTTCCGTGTGAGTTCCCTCAAACATGCGGTAGCTTCACAGATGACGCGCCGGAAGGACTGTGGCGTGGTTCGACTCCTTGAGGCGAGGGCAAAAAGCTCGCGGAGAATGGGAGATGCCGGGATGAGGGTGTTTAAAAAAGAGAGAACCAATTAACAAATGGCATTCGGTGTTTGTTTGCGTTCTTGACACGGAAGCCAAGTGAGACAATGTGGTTTGGTCGTCACGGAAAGTGTTTTTGTTGTGGATATTTTTTGGAGCAAGGGTTGGCGCGAATCCTTTAGATCGACTGGAAGCATTTGAATTGCGTCCTTTGCAACTCATGGTTGGTGATAACCAATTTGTGACTTTTGTTGGCTCACTCAGTGACTAGAGGTCTGAAGCCAACCTCATCCAGATCCTTTGCTTGAATACTGGAGACCCCGTTGCCAACCGAGGCAAAGGCCACTTCGGCAGCGGGAAGAAGCAAACAAATACACGACTTGCCCTGATGGCTGATGGCTGATGGATCACCTTCAGGGCTCCCAGCAGTTCAAGTTCAGAAGGATCCCGACTCAAGACCGCGGCCCTTTTTCCCTTTGGCCTTCCGGCCCTTGGCTTGCAGGCATCTTGCTTTTGGTGTTTTTTTTGTCTTTCTTCTTTTCAGTTTCTGTTCCCCCCTTTTTTTTCCGGATGTGCCTATTGAGAATGGCGGGGGTCCTTTGTGGTTCCCTTTAAACTAACCTGACAAGGGTACCCTCGAAGAAAGACATACATACACTTAAAAAAAAAAAAAAAAAAAAAAAAAAAACGTCAATATTCATAGCCAAGGGTCAGAAGAAGGCAAATGATCTGTGGGATAGCCATATTGGTAAAACAAAAGGCTACCCTGAAATGGTGTGTTTATTCTTGGCTTCAATCGAATCTCAAACGGCTACGCTCAAAAGACATACCGACCCAAGCATTAGGCCCAAATGCCCGAAAAGCCTGCCCATGAGGACAAAGCCCCTTGCTTCCAACCTCCACTGGAAGTGTCCCTTTATAAAATCAAAACCATGGGGTTTCCTTAGCCCCCCCAACCACCTCCAACCCCAACCACTTTGGGAACTGGGGTAAAAACACCTCGGGTTTTGGCCGCCCGACCTTCGCGTCCCACCCCGCGCGACGGTCAAGTCCGACCACCCGCCGCGCGAGATGCTCTTTCGCACCTCGCTGGTGGCCCTGGTGGGCGATGCCCCCGCGCGGCAGCTCACGATGCCTGGGCCCTCGGACCTTCGGCGTCGCAGGTCGCTGGAAATGGCCGGCCATCAGAGATCCGCTGCAGGTTGGCTCTCTCTCTCTCTCTCTCTCTCTTTCTTTTTCATATTTCCAGCTGGTGAGCGATTGATTTCATTGTTGTTGTTTTTGATTTCCCGCTGGTGAGCGATTGACTTCATTTGGCTTGATTGCCTTTGCTTTGCTGTGGTTTGCTTGGCTTTGCTTGCTTGCGTTCGTGATGTCCTATTGATCTTTGCCTGCTGCAAACAGATCCAAGCGGGCAGGACCGGTACATATATATAGAGATATGTATGCGATGAGTTTGCAGCACCTTGCAAATGAACGTAATATGTCCGTCGCCGTATCCGTCATTTGGTGTGTTGGTTTGCTCATGTTTCATGTGGTCAATCTCAGCTGTATCTTTGGGGCAAGGGACCCGTTGGTTGCCTACAACCGCTTATGGATCCCCGGATTGAAATCCTCGCAGCATTGGTACGGGTATCTGACTGCCTTGCAGTATTTGAAGGGGGGGTCAGCCATGCACACGGCAAAACTTGTACATTGGGGTACATGTATTGCCAGGAGGGCCCCTACAATTTTCTTTGGAAGGGGTTGGCGTGGACCTTTGGAGTCGGGGGTACATGAGGATTCCCTGGAAAACCATATCTATGGCCCACGGAACGAGTTTGACCATAGGACATGTAGGTGTATCAGAGTTGCATAATGCAAAAAAACACATTTCTTCTGCAAGCTCGCACTCATATTTGTTTCCCTGTGGAAGAGACCTTTGGTAAAATCTGTTCAGTCGTGTTACATGTGCTTGGAGGAAATACTTGTTCAGCCACGTTCCTGCCTGCATCCTGCTTTCAGTTCAGCATTATTTTGCCATTGCCTTGGTTTGTCCATGGGCTGAGGCTACCCAGAAACACGCAGGAACCATCCACCAAAACGAGGGCAAGCCCTCCAATCGCATGCAGGTTTGCTTGGGAAATCATGAAGCCAAGAGAATAACGGGCGGGGACCGCCTGTCCAAGGTGGAACACCAAGGCTCGTGCAGGAATTTGCCCCTCGGATGCAGAGGGCGGCCGAAGCTGGTGTCCGGCGTTGTTCAGTGAATTGTTCTTTTCGTGGTTTGCCATTAAACATTGTCCAAGTTTTCCAGTAGTGTCCTTTTACCCTTTTTTGGCGGAGGGTTCCCCTACTAAAATAGACTACAGAAAAAGGTTGGTACCCTTATTCTAACCTCTCTACTTACTGGAGGACCTAGTTAAACATAGCCCCACACTGGGGTTCCTCGTCGCATTATCACCGGGCTGGGCCTTTTGCTGGAAGTTTGTGCGAAACACGGAGGGAAGCAGGGTTCATACTCACGTGGATCCTGAAAGGCCATCGTGCTTAGAGGAATCTCAGTTTGAGAAAAAAACCGCCTTTGCCGGGCATTCCTTTGAAGGGGATCCATCCTGTCACCGGTGACAGGAATTGGTAGTGGGTATGGGTCAAAATGAAGCCAGGAATCGGACCGCAGGTGCTAGTCGAATTTTGGCCTTGTTTCCACTTACCAGGGTTCAAATTGGGGTACCTATTTTTGACCCACACCGGCCCACACCCAAAAAACAGGACCCGGAGATGGGATCCGAGGCTCGCTGCAGTTTCCCAGCGAGATCTGCAACGTCAAGATGCGGCGCCGCCACGTTTGGAGCGTAGCAGGTATGCCGAGCTGGGGGTAAAAAAGAGCTCACTCACCGTGGCTTTGTGGTCTATTGTCCAAGCGTTGGGTTACAGGAAATTCCACAGGAAAATAGCTTATTTAGGCCATTTCCTCTAGATTTTCCTGTAACCAAACCTTTTGATATTAGAAGCTCCCCTAGTTGGTTGCACGGGTGAGATGGCCACATTCGTGGCAACGAATACCCAGGGCTGATCAAGCGCCCCAGATCTGCAGCTTTTGCACCGATTGATTCCTACCTGCTTAATTACTTTGGTGCATGTTGCTTGGTGATAGGACTTTAACTTTGTGCCAACTCCTGGGCGTTCCCTTCAACCACTAAAAGTTATTTTTTTAGCAGGGGAGCAGAAAGCGACCAAGATTATGTGGCTCACAACTTGATTGCGGTGGTGTTTCGGCCCTTGTGAGCATCTCACCAGACACCAGACCCAGGGCCTGTCAGAGCTGAGAGCCATCAGTCCAAAAGGAGCATGGCGGCCGAACCCTAAGATAGGACGAGGTCACCTTTGCTTCAAGTACGAAATCTGCCATTGCGAGAAATGGTGACCCTGCTGAGTGGTATTCTGCCTCAATATGGCAAGCAACACCCCCCTTTTGAGGATTTATTGAGTGGTCCCCTCCGCGAACCTTCTACCTGTTATTTTGCTAGTTTCCCTGGTCGGGGCGGTTGAATCAGTTTTGAATGGACCTCAAGTAGGAAGAGAACACCCAAGTGGCATAGCTTTGTGGTTGATGCACTTGGCAGCCTGTAGGGAGTCCCCCGTACCTCGCGCCGGGACATTTGGGCAGGAACCATCGAAGAGCAGTTGTTCTACTCAGGCACGCGCTGGAGAGGGAATTCTTGGGTAGGCGCCCTCCATCCCACTTGCATGTACCAGGTTCAGACAAAGTATTCACTCCATAGTCAGTTTGGACGGCTGTCTCTTTTCCCAGCAAAGGCAGAGAAGTTCTCCATGTCCATTCCCCATGTCCATTTCTACAACGAAATTCTATGGCTCACCTGAGTTGTCCTTATGGTGTTTTGCCCAGAAAGCAAGAATTCGAGGGGTCCGATTTGATTTGCTCAAACATGTGAGGCTCTGCTGATAATTTACATGGTTGCTTTTGGCACTTGGTGGTAGAAGGAGGCGTTTGGGCCGTGTCTTTGGAGCCATGTGTAGGGGGGCTGACATTCGTGCGGGGTCTTTTTGTTGAGGCTCGGTACCATTCTTTGGATTGGTTAAAAAGGAACCTGGGCTTGCGTTTTTATGGGGAACCCCTTTTTGGGGGCTGGTTAAAAAGGATCGACGCCGGCCTTTTCAAGTAGGTCCCCCAAGACAGGCCTCGGAGGCCGTTGGTTTTTTCTCATAGAAATCCTCCCAGACTTGGTCTGGGTCCAGGATGGTTTCCACTCAAGCTGCCCCCGACACCAAATTGTACGGGACATTTGGCCCCATGTAACTCCCCCTCAGTTGGTAGAAGCTTTTTCACTTTATCCCCTTTCATCCATCCTAGAATCCTAGGTCGCGGTCCTTTTAAAGATGGGGCGTGTTCCCCTCTAGAGAGCGGAACGTCTGGTTTACCGATGGCCGTTAGCCCTTAGCTTCGTTCTGGAGACACAGATCTGTCTGATGCAAGCTTCCTAAATAGTACCTCACCAACAAGTGGTTCGTCAGACCTTACCCTGCAGACTTCTAGAACCCTTCTAGGGGTGCCTTCTCGGGAGGTTCGGGAGGAACCTTCCAGAGTGTTTCTTCTGCTCGAGTGTCCTTGTGCCATGGCTGCAGAGAATTCCGGGAACTGAAGTAGGGCTTCAGTGCGCAGGCAGAAAGCACATATCTTCGACCTCAAGACGATGAAGGCGTTCCGTTGACACCAGGGACGAGCCAGGCTTCTTTTGTCGCAGTTTCCAGAAGCCGTTTCTTCAGAAGGCTGGGTTTGTGGGGTGACCGAATCGCCGCTTAGACAATTTGAAAACCAATGGCGTTTCCGGTCTAACGACCATTTGCTCTCGGGGAAAGAGCAACGCAGTTGTTATTGACGGGCTAGGCTTGCCATTGTTGCCGCTGAGCAGAAGGAAGCGGGGCTCCCGAATTGGTTCCCGTCGGGAAGTTGGGAGTGTCAAGAATACACACATATTTGGGCAGTAATGTTGATTTGGGACCCTTACGTGGACATCTTTGGGTGGAGACTCATGTCCAACAACCATGAAGCCCCCTTGAGAGTCGGCCCACTCAGACACACAGCCATATTATGCGTGTTCGAACATCGGACACTGTGACGGAACGCGTCAAAATATCGGCGGTCCTCTTTTATTTTGATACACGTGCCTGTTAAGATACACTCCTACGTATTTGCATGCACATTCGGCTATAGACGGAGTTTTCATACATGTTCATACAATCAATCAAATTATCCTTACATTGGGGCGAGCAACAATGTGTTGTTGGCGGACTGCCCTAACAGCCCTCAAAAATTGGGGGTGTCAACGTGCGTATGGGACATATGAGAAATGCCTGCTTTGGGGGCACATGGACGATATTCCTGAGCTGCATGTATCCTTTATATAACTGTTTATTGGACTTCTACGCACCGTGGCTCCAGCATTCCATTTGCGACTGTTGCACTTCGAGCAGTTCAAGCCACGGACACAACCTGGCACTGCTCGGGGGAGAAAAAACGTTCCGGCACCATTTAGTCTTGAGGTTGTCTGACTACCACGGACCCAGTTTCGGTTTACTTTTTGGTGTGCAGGTACTTCCCTGGAGGATTCCTGGAAAAAAAGGAGGGGGTTCCACGTTTATGTGGGGAACGATGACCACTGGAGGCCTTCAAAACTATCCCAAGCGCCCATGGCCACTAAGCATTTCGGTTGACCCCTCAGAAAGCTCATCACTTGTTGTGGTTTAGCGGGGAAAACCCAACTTGACTTGAGTTGATTTCAACCAAAATGGGTGTGGCTCAAAATCAAGCAACTGGGGTTGCGCAGGTTTTAGTCTACCTGTCCAGAAACCATTTGGACCCCCATTTTGGAGCCCCATTTTTGAGCCACACCCAAATGTGAACGTCTAAAGATCCCCTTGCCCCATAGCGCTGAAGCCCATGGGTCCTCGGAGCCGAGCCTCGGACCAGGGCTTGCATGTCATCGACCGCTCGGATCAGGCCCCAGGCGCATTGAATCGAACCCGCTCCGATTTGGACAGAGGTTTGCTTGGTTTGGTGTTTGAAGGGAAGCCAAAAGGAAACCAGCCATTTTGGGTTTCCCCTATTTTTGAAGAAACACGGAAATGAGCCAAACTAAAAACTGCCACGAAGCGCTTCATGGGGCTCGAGCTCACCGATGCGGGAGATCCGTGGGGATCCAATTATTTGTGTATGGTTTTGGATCCATGGTAATTTTGAGAAAAAAAAAAACAGGTAAGTGGAGATTAGTCAGGGAAAGTCTCAACCCTTTCGACTGCTTAAATGGCTTTGGGTAGACCACTTTACCAGGTGTTGAGTGTGACTCACCAGAACTGGACTCATTCTTTGCTATGAAATCCGGGAACTCATTCTTTTCTATGAAGCGCAGGAAACAACAAGTTGAGGCGTGTTCCGGCTAGTTTCAAGCAGTGAGAGTTTCCCAGAGGCAGGCGTCCACAAGAAACTATGTACCGTTTTGTTCCAGTTGGTTGTGGACCCACTAGACACAAAGAGTGGCCGTCCTTGCGCGAGACTGATCCCTGGGGATGCACCAACCCAAAAAGAGGACATCGTGAAACTTTCCTAGATCAAAGGGGGGACTGTTTGATTTTGTGTTTGGCTGTGTTTGTGTATGCTGTTTTCGTCTGTTTTTTTTTTCCCCCCCCCGTTTCTTCGTCAAGTTCGGTTTTCATAGGGTCAGGTTTCGGACGGTGTCTTCCTGGCATGCCCATGGGAAGTCCGACAGAGGTAGACGTTGCACCTTGGCAGTTTCATTAGGAGCCTTTGCTCATGTGTCCCCAACTCGTGTTTGAGGGATCCCAAATGAAATGCGGAGCTGTTCCAATCGCATCGCGTCTTGTGTAGTGCGGCTCAAAATGAAAGAGGGCTCAACCAATTGATATTTTGAAAACGAAGTTTGCAGGTAATTGGGGATTTCTAAAACTGGTTGGTTCCTGTTTGGATTTCCTTGGAACGCTGTCCACAAGGGATGCCCAATGTTCAGACGCACTTCAGCAATACGGGACCTTTCTGCCCCTTTAGCTGGAATGCCACCGTCAGCCTCGCACACAGTTCTGCACTCCTGAGGTGTATGATGGTAGTTTACTGTTTTGGCTGTGAATTTGAATAGGGAACCACCTAACAAGTGGCTGGTGGACGCGGAATCCGGCAATCTTCAAATCCAGGTTAGCAAACTCTGTCGGAAAGCAACCCAACTTTGGAGCGAGATGTTTGGACGCAAGTGAAACCAACAGACAGCACGTACTTCGCACCATAGAAAAGGTGCTCGCAGCTGGGTCCCAGACCTGAGAAACTACGCTACAAATGGCCGTTGAAGTTCAAAGGACCCTTTGCACATCAGGGTTGTGGTTGATCGCAAGGGGTTTTTGCAACCACTTCTGGGATACTTTTGGGAATCTCCCCCTTTATATGGGGGGTTAGTCTTTGGGGTTAGGCCCTTTTTGTTGTATCACAGAAGTGGTCATTTCCCACAGCCCTGCTGCACATCATTTAGGTTCAGCAGCTTTGCAAGGGGACAACCCGCCCCCGCCCAAGATTCCCCTAAATCTACTTGAGTACTCAGTCGGATGAGCATCCAAGTTTGTTCGTCGTTTTGGTGGGCTATGCATATTGGGTTGTTTCAAAGAAAAACCGGGAAACCAAACAGAAATAACCAGTTTTGGCGGATTCCATCACCTTTCCCCGTTCAGTTACCTGTTTGTTGCCGGGTCTTCATTTTCCTGGCCCAACCAGTGTGGTAACTGTTGGCCAGGAAACTTGGCTCGGTCTAGAGGCAACTGCAAATGAGCCAGAACCTGGGCAGATAAACGCTAGTACGGGACAATCCCAATGGTTGCGGGAATCCGCCTTGGTTTTTCCTTACTGGGTCAACCATGTGAAATACCCGGGTCTTGAGCAAGTGACTCTATGAACATGAAACCGTCCAGAGGAGATCCCAGCGATCGGAGTTTGGGCTTCGGACCTGGAGAGCCGTCGCTCTTGGAACACGACCCCAAGAAGAAACTCGCCGCAGTTTTTGTTGGGCGACTTGGTGACTAAACCTAGGAGCACCACTGAAGCAGACTCCCCAAATGTTAACTTTTGCGTCAGGCCATTTGGTTCTTTCATGGTTGTTCTTGGGAAACATGTTGTTTCCCCCTTTTTTTGCTATTTGTGGGGTTTAGTGGTTTCAACTGCTAAAATTTAACTTGTTGCTCCCCTTCCAACGTCAACCAAGCTTAGAGCCCTGTCAGGATTGGACCCGGCCTTGTGCAGCCTTTGCTGCGACTCGGAGCCCGGGAGCCAACAAATCGGTCCACCGAAAGACTGCAACAAGTTGGTGCTTTTCGGGGAGCCCCAGGTTGTTCGGGTTTAAAATAGAGCCAACACGAAAAGACAAAAAACTTTTGGGAGGTGCCCAATTTTTTAAGACCGACTCTTTTTGTTGTTGTCGTGATGTTTGTTTCTTTTTTTTTCGGAGGTTTACTTCTCTGGAAGGCACTGGTGGAGGTAGTCCTGGGCTTAGGCCCTCTCGTCGTACCAAGGGATTCCCCTTGACAGTCAGGGGAATGGAATTCCAAGTTTGGTATCACAGAAAGAGTGTCGGCTGGGTTGAAGCGGTTCTGACAGGCCATGGTTTGGCTGGAGAGTTTGCCTTAAAACATCCGCCAAGCTTTAAAAATATGTGGAAGAGCTTGAGTTGTGCTTATAGAAACCAGCCGCAGGAACTTATCCAATAAGTTTGCTTGTCAAGCCGTCTCATATGCACTGCTAGTCTTGCTTCTCCTAAACAAGAATCCCAGGGAACGGGTCCTTCTTTATGTTTGCTCTCTTTATTCTCTACCAGGGGTTTTGGTAGACTTCAATGCCAGGTTCACAATCATCGTCACAAGACAACCAACCTCTTACCTAAACCCAGCCCAACCAACCTCTGGCCAACGGGTAACCAGCCCGCAACCAACTCCGCCAACCATGGGCTCTAGGGACCCGGAACAGATGCACATAAATATGTATCAATATGTCCCAGGTTCTAGGTCGCCCCTCCTCACTAGAATATATTATAATATATGATAGTGTATTATAGTATGTTATATTATGTTATATTATATGATATTATATATACATATCATATGCATATATATATATATATTATACATATTATATATGCATATATAATAGATTATTTTAACCATAATATATATATATATATACATATCATATGTATGAATGTGCATGTAGAACTGGCCAAATTATGATGACCTCACTTCCGAACCCATTAGCTTCAGACATTGGACGGCCGACGGCAAACGAGAATATGATACCTGGTTTGATGGCACGAGAAAAACATGAAGCAAATGAGCTGCTAGGTCCCCCAATAGTGCCCTTTTACCCTTTTTTGGGGGGAGGGTTCTCCTACTAAAATAGACAAAGCCAACAAAAATGAGTACCAACTTATTCTGAGCTCTCGAATCTGGAGGACCTAGGCTGTGAACTGGCACCTTTAGATGCCAAGCCCGACACTTAGCCCCGAGGCGGGGCTTGCTGGCAGCGCCTCTGGTTGCGGGGAGCCAGGTGAGCCAGCGACTTTTTTGCCGAGCAAAGGGCTTCCGACTTTGGTACTTTGCGGGGTCTGCAAGAAAAATTGCATGGATTCCACTCGCGCAGTTTGGTTCTGATTTGCGACCATTTGTTCTCCCAAAAGGACACCCTGGTTTGGGGTTGCTTCCAAGGGTATGCCAGCGTCAAAGCGAGATAGGGGCTGATTTCATGTCAGGTTCCTCTTGCCTTCCAAGTGATTCCCTTTTTTTAAGACAGCCGGTTGACTGCTGTCAAACCTACAAGCCACCTTGTCAACCTCTTTTGACCACCTGAGTCAAAACTTGGAACGAGGGTCACCAAAAGCGGCTACTTTCCGTCTACAGCCTCAAATGTGGTCGCCACTTGTTGAAAACCTGTCTTACTTGTTCCCGTTGAAAAGGGCCAAGGACGTTGACCGAGCCTCATGCGCCCGTATGGCCCATCTCTATGAACCCCGAAGCATGTCCTGGCCACTGGATGCCAAGCTAGGATTCTGTAGGGATGATTCTCATATGGCTGTGGGTCAAAAATGGGTATCCATTTTGGAACCCTAGTAAATGGAACCAAGGACAACCTGCGGTCCGATTCCTGGTGCTTTAATTTTGATCACGGTGGGCACCAAAGAGGCGTCAGACTTCCAGTTCCGCAGTACATCCAGAGGGTTCGGACCTTGGGCGCTACAGCAAAAAAGTTGAAGCCTTACGGGATCAATGGCTAAAGTGGGGAACGCGGGGCCGAATCAATTCTTGCAGACTTTTTCAGTATTCTGGCCCAACTTCCTTACCCAAATTCTCCTGAAGAAGCCGGTTAGAACTGGACGCTGGGGTGACCCTCAATGGGTTCGGGGTCTGGAATGCCCTTTGGTGCAAGCGATCAGAACCGCTTGAATGGGTCGCCTGGACCGAAGTGTTCAACTCACCAAATTCAAGTGTCACATGGTGGTTGTTGGGAAACAGTTAGTTATTGGGAAGCTAAATCCCCACTTGACTACTAAAATTCAAAGTCGTTGCTTCCCTTCCAACGTCAACCAAGGTCATGGTTTTAGGGAACTGTCCAACATTGCTTGTGTGGCTTGGGACGCCAAAAGCAAAAACAGCCCATGGGGTCCCCCGTTGTGAGACCCAGCCGAACGAGCGTCCCCCCAGCCGAATCCGACTGCACTCTGCAGGGCGCCGCGCCCGATGCACGGGCTGGGCTGGTGGGTGTGGTGGACACCTACACGCTGCAGCTCGGACTGAGAGATCCAGGTGGGCTGCTTTCTCTCTTTCTTGTTGAGAGGGGTTCTATTTATTTGAAAATCGACCACCAACAAGAAGGTGCTCTCTTTTTTTCACATGGCCACGGGGGGTTTGAGATGCCTTCCTCCAAATAAATAGGGCTGGCTCAAAATGTCCTGACCCCTCTCTGAGACCCAAAGAAAGGAGACGGACCAGATGTTGCGGTCCCGGAAAAGCGTGGATGCCCCGAACATCTGCAAGTAAGGGAACAAGGGGCACCCTCCAATTTACCGTAATTCCCATGGTGTTGTTGTTCTGGTTGGCTTACTTACAGCATTGATTTCAACCTCTGGCTAAAGACAAGGTATTTTGCCATGGCAAACCTTGTTTTGGATTCCAAGATACATCCCGCAATACAAGCAGAAAGTGGGTAGGGGTGCAATCCTGGGTTCCCGATAGTGTCAGACACTCCGGGCATTGGGGCTTTTGGGCTGAAGCTTCAACAGCCTAAATGCATACAAGTTGACGATGTTCAGTATCTCGTTTGCCAGCGGATTTTGATCCCCGGGTGACACATGTGTGTTTGTTCCCCTTGTAGGGAACTCCGCATTTGAGAGCACGAAGAGCGCAAAGATTGGTCGAGGGAAGCCAGACAAGCCAAGGATGCGTTTGAAGTTGCCTTGGGATTGAGTTGCGGCCAATAGAGTATCGTCAAACTGGCAAGGTCTCATCTCATGCGAGAATGTCAAGGATGTTGCAAAAAACAGCAGGAAAGTCGTTTGAGCTACTCTTTGCTCAAAGTGTCGGGCCAAACTGAAGGGAGGATTGGATACTAGTTGCACCCCTTCCTTGGATGACATTGATAGTACTCATCCGAGGTGGTCGAATCGATCGCGCCCTCTAGCATGTTTGTTGGCAGAAAGATCTGCCAGCCATTTGTTCGCAACACATTCAAGAATCAAGAAAAGGTAAGCTGGGAGTCAAATCCTCCAGGTGGAGAAGGTTTCCAAAATGCCCATCAAAGCAGAGTGGCACATGGCACAACAGGTGATTGATGTTTCATATCCTATGCATGTCGCTGGAGAGCTGACCTGGTTTGGCCAGGGACGCTTCAGAATTCGCTGAATCATAACTTGCCAGACTTGGCTCGCCTTTCACTCTTTGCCCCTTTGGGTTTCCTTCATTTTCCCTTGCAAGCAGGAAAGGTCGACTTGGGGGTCTAAGTCTGGCCCCTTAACGTAAGGCTGCAAAGTTTTGTGTACATGCAGGTGTCCCTCTTGAATCTTAGGAACGATCCTCAGCCAGGCCCTTCTTCAACCTTTGGCTCGTTGGGCGTGAATTTCTGTTGGGGGAACCAATTTGGTGTACATCAGGGTGGCCAACGATTTGGGAGATTATCTAGGTCTCCCAGTAGTGCCCTTTTACCTTTTTTTGGGTGAGGGTTCCCCTACTGAAATAGACTACAGAAAAAAAGACGGTACCCGTATTCTAACCTCTCTACTGGAGGACCAAATTATTCCTCATTACCGTTGCCCCACATTGGCCTGGGCTTTGGAAATAGCACACAGCGATGAGTCTGGGAAGAAGAGCTTGCTTATGACTTGTGACGCGTTGAGGGGATTGGTTTCATGTGGCTGAGTACTCTTACTGGTTATTATTTAAGAGGACATTCCTCAGTTGGTCATGTCTCATGACTCTCCTTTCCCCAAATGATCTGCTGGCTTGTTGGGTTCCATTTGCATAAGGACTCCGACCCCGGCACGGCAAAGCCTCACCCCGCATCCGAGGCAGCCCTTGGGGGCGGTGCTTGCGCACCGCACACCAGCGCGGGGCCCAGCTTGCACCCAGCCGGTTGGTGAGGTGGCGCTACTTAGCTAATAGATCCTCAGTAAGTCCTTGTTGAGGGCTTGTCATTGCCCCTCTCCAGGGACAGACTCCACCCCTGTAGCTTGTTTGATGATTGGTTGAGGGACTGAGATCGGTCATTTCGTGAACATGGAGAGCGTGTATAAGAAAAGTAGGAACAAGAAGTCTTGCGTGTTTGCTGGCCACCCACCTCCAGGGCGACAAGATCTTCCGATATCCGGTAAATGCAAGTCAACCATGCGCAAGACATGGTGAGCACAGTTTCCGTTGCATGCCTTCAGGACTCCACCGTACCTTCTAAAGATTGTCAACCTGCAAGCCCCTAACCAAGTTTGGGACCTGTACCAGTTGAAAAAAAACCCTAGAATGACCCAGCGACACTCGCCTATTGTGCACACAGAGGCTGGCTCAGCTGAAATCAGCTGAGAATGAGACCCCGTTCTGCACCATGCCATTGGCTCCTGGGGCAGTGGGCTCCGTAGCTCATAGGCTTTGCCCATCACTTTCTGGAGCGGATGCGTCTGATCAACCTCAAAGATGCCTTCCATATCTGGAATGCTAACAGTTCGGTGTGGACCCCCATGGGTTCTGTCGAGGGACTCAGGTACATCGCAGACGTCGCCGGGATGGACTGACTCCACTGCTGATACTACTGTGAACTATGCTTTAGCCATTTCTCCTCACATGCAGATGCTGAAGCGCAGTGCTATCGGGATTGCATTTCTAGACAGGTAGGACAACCGTGTGTTCAAACACCCGGAGCTTGCCATACCAACCAGGGGCCCATTGGATTCAAACCCCGCAGCGTGCCTTTGGTCCACGGGAAGGTGGATATCCCGGATCCATTTGACCCATCCAGTCGATGCTTGAGGCATTATGTCCTTTGGGACTAACCCCTTGCCTCTTTCGAGACAGGGCCAGAAAGCAAGCTTTGCTACCCTGGCTGTGGATAGTTGCTCATGGGATAGGAAGGTCTGGTCAACTTCCATGCGAAATGTTGATGGGTTGATAAACACTGCAGATGAATTATATAGATTAATACGAGCTGTCGGGACACCTCAAAGCTGCACATCAATTTCAGTTCAAGTCAGAATCTTGGTTTTTGCGGACCCCCAAAAATTCAACTTGCAAAACCGTGCTGGCGGGCACCCAATACTGAACCCTGCTTAAGCTTGTCCTGCCAGGGTTGGGCAACTGTGTATTGGTCTGAATCCATTGTTGATCTGGATCCAAGAAAGGGTACAGGGGGCAACGTGCTTGCGGTCTTCCCAACTTATGCCATGGTCAGACCCTGTTGCTTGGGGTTGGTAGGGACAGTCAGTGACTTTTCAGGAATTTAGACCAGTGTGATGGTTCCTACAACTTTTGGCACTTCTTTGTGTGTTTGTGTGAGCGAGTTTGATTTTGCGCAATCAAAGTTTGAACATGTTATGAAAGAACTTGTTAAGGCGATTGTATATGTTCATGCTGGGAAAATAGTTGTGTGAAAAATAGGTGAAAATACGGGATCCCGTTTGCTCTTTCCTGTTGGCTACCCTTTGAACCAATGCAGAAACTGGCACTCTTTTTTCTCAAAATGGAAAGCCGCCAAAATTTAGTGGATCCCCTGTGGTTGCCTTTGTAAAGCAACTGAAACTGGCGCCGTCAAACAAAACAATTCCATTTGGGTGCTGGCTTCTGCCACAGTCAAAGGACCCGTGTACTTGGGGTTCATAGATATGGTCGTCAAGCCCTTATGGAAGCTAGGCTATCATGAAGGTTTTCCCCTCGGAGCCTTGATTATGGCACATGGCGTGTATACGTGTGTGTCAAATAGCACCTCTAAAAGACGCACCTTCCAGGCAACTACAAAGGATACCCCAGAAAACCACAGACCCATGTCTTAAAAAATGAAAACGACACCAAATTCCAACGCCTTTGGTGTAAAATCCATAAAATGGATGAAGCCTTCCTTGCGGTGTTTGGTTTCCCTTTAAACCCGGCTGGTTCCTTTCCAGAGACGAACACCCCCGGACCCACCCCGCGCCACCGGCGCCGCTCACGGCGGCGAGCGCCGAGGTGCGCGCCATGCGCCTCAACCCCACGGGCCAGCTGCTGGCCACCGCCTCGGCGCGGGGCACCGTGGTGCGCTTGTGGGCCCGGGAGCCCGAGGCTTTTTGGTTTTTCAGCGGGTTGGACCCAAGACCTCCCACAGTTTGGCTTTGTTCTGTCTGCTGTGGCTTTTTTTTTCCGGATTGTGTTGTTGTTTGGTGATGGGTTTTTGTGTTTGTTTTTTGTTTTGGAAAAAGAATATGTATTATATGTGTCTATTATTATTATGATGATGATTATTATATATATTTTTGGGGGGCAGGGGGGGGGGGGGAACCCGTGGTCTTCCAAGAATGCGTTGAATTTTCTGCTGTTGATTTCATATGGTTTCTAGTGGTTGCTCCCTGGGCAGCGAGCTCCCTGCTGTTGGATTTTCCTCAGATTCAATTCAACCAAAGAAGGGCCCAGAACCCGGGTTGCTGCAAATGCTTATGCCACCCCAACTGTTTCCTGGGAGGGTAACCTGCTTTGGGGTGGAACACCGAAATCCATTTTGGGGACCCCCACTATGTTTTCAAAAAGATGGCACATGCCACTTGTATCTAGTGGGGTTCCCTTTGTCCGCTTTTGTTTGAAGAAGGGTTCCCCTTCATAGCTGCCAACAAATCAGTGGCTGGCTTTTCCCTGAAAATTTACTGGGGGGTCAAGGGGGTGAACTGCCAGGGAGTCGTCGAGGTTTTGGGAAACCGGGGGTGAACCTCCATGAAATAAATTTCAGTCAATGGTGACTCATTGTAAGCTTTGCCATTTATTATATCAGTTTTAGTTCACAAGTGTGATGTGTGTTCAATCTTCAGCCAACTCTTCCGCCAAGCTCCACTCTCTTGGAGAAATGACCAGGTAAACTTGCTGGTTCTCAGCCTCCCTGTAAACCCAACCAAAAGGGAGTCCCCGAAAATTTAGAAGACCAGCAAAGGAAGCCAAAGGGTATATCCTGACTGCCACCCTTATCATGGTTGTTGTTGAAAGACATGCTGCATTTCGGTTCTTGTGGTTTAGTGGGAAATCCAAATCGACTCAATTGCTACAATTTCAAACTGTTGCTCCCCTTCCAACGTCGACCAAGGTCATGGTTTTAGGGAACATTCCAACATTCCTTGGGTGGCTTGGGAAAAACAGCCCATGGGGTCCCTGGATTTTCAGCCTTCAAAGCAACGTCCGACATAAACCAAGTTCCCTTTAACAGCTGCCAACAAATCAGTGGCTGGCTTTTCCCTGAAAATAAATTGGGGATCAGGGGGTGAACTGCCAGGGAGTCGTCGAGGTTTTGGGAAACCGGGGGTGATCCTCCATGAAATAGATTAGAGTCAATGGTGACTCATTTTAAGCGTTGCCATTTATTATATCAGTGTTAGTTCACAAATGTGATGTGTGTTCAATCTTCAGCCAACTCTTCCGCCAAGCTCCACTCTCTTGGAGAAATGACCAGGTAAACTTGCTGGTTCTCAGCCTCCCTGTAAACCCAACCAAAAGGGAGTCCCCGAAAATTAGAAGACCAGCAAGGGAAGCCAAAGGGTAAATCCTGACTGCCACCCTTATCATGGTTGTTGTTGAAAAACATGCTGCATTTCGGTTCTTGTGGTTTAGTGAGAAATCCAAATCGACTCAATTGCTAAAATTTCAAACTGTTGCTCCCCTTCGAACGTCGACCAAGGTCATGGTTTTAGGGAACATTCCAACATTCCTTGGGTGGCTTGGGACGTCAAATGCAAAAAAACAGCCCATGGGGTCCCTCGATTTTCGGCAGTCAAAGCAACGTCCAACGTAAACCAAGTTCCCTTTCATAGCTGCCAACAAATCAGTGGCTGGCTTTTCCCTGAAAATTTATTGGGGGTCAGGGGGTGAACTGCCAGGGAGTCGTCGAGGCTTTGGGAAACCGGGGGTGATCCTCCATGAGCGTTGCCATTTACTATATCAGTGTTAGTTCACAAATGTGATGTGTGTTCAATCTTCAGCCAACTCTTCCGCCAAGCTCCACTCTCTTGGAGAAATGACCAGGTAAACTTGCTGGTTCTCAGCCTCCCTGTAAACCCAACCAAAAGGGAGTCCCCGAAAATTAGAAGACCAGCAAGGGAAGCCAAAGGGTAAATCCTGACTGCCACCCTTATCATGGTTGTTGTTGAAAAACATGCTGCATTTCGGTTCTTGTGGTTTAGTGAGAAATCCAAATCGACTCAATTGCTAAAATTTCAAACTGTTGCTCCCCTTCGAACGTCGACCAAGGTCATGGTTTTAGGGAACATTCCAACATTCCTTGGGTGGCTTGGGACGTCAAATGCAAAAAAACAGCCCATGGGGTCCCTCGATTTTCGGCAGTCAAAGCAACGTCCAACGTAAACCAAGTTCCCTTTCATAGCTGCCAACAAATCAGTGGCTGGCTTTTCCCTGAAAATTTATTGGGGGTCAGGGGGTGAACTGCCAGGGAGTCGTCGAGGCTTTGGGAAACCGGGGGTGATCCTCCATGAGCGTTGCCATTTACTATATCAGTGTTAGTTCACAAATGTGATGTGTGTTCAATCTTCAGCCAACTCTTCCGCCAAGCTCCACTCTCTCTCTTGGAGAAATGACCAGGTAAATTTGCTGGTTCTCAGCGTCCCTGTAAACCCAACCAAAAGGGAGTCCCCAGAAAATTAGAAGACCAGCAAGGGAAGCCAAAGGGTAAATCCTGACTGCCACCCTTATCATGGTTGTTGTTGAAAAACATGCTGCATTTCGGTTCTTGTGGTTTAGTGAGAAATCCAAATCGACTCAATTGCTACAATTTCAAACTGTTGCTCCCCTTCGAACGTCGACCAAGGTCATGGTGTTAGGGAACATTCCAACATTCCTTGGGTGGCTTGGGACGCCAAATGCAAAAAAACAGCCCATGGGGTCCCTCGATTTTCGGCAGTCAAAGCAACGTCCAACGTAAACCAAGTTCCCTTTAACAGCTGCCAACAAATCAGTGGCTGGCTTTTCCCCGGATTTTTTTGGGGGGTTGGCTCTTCCCTGAAAATCCCTTGGGGGTCTGGGGGTGGTTTTGCCAGGCGGTGCCCTCCTTCACCATGCTGTGCAGCTTCCGGCGCGGCGCCAACGAGTGCTGCATCCACGGACTAGGCGCGGGGCGCTCGCGCGAGCGCTCGCGAGCGCCGTGGTTTCGCGCTGAGCGGTTTTTCGGGTAGGGGAGGCACAAGCTCAAGACCCATTCGGGTAGATGACTCGGTTAAGGGGCGGTCCCAGCCGGAAAGAGTTGCGGGAATCCGCCGTTCTACTTTACATGGTTTTGGGTGCACTATTTTTGTACCAGGTTTTGATAGTGACTCAGGGGGTGTCGTGTGTGGGGAGTGAGTGCCTTTTCGTTGGTTGGCTTCAAAGGGAAAAGCTGAAGCGTTTTTGGAGGGGACCCTTCGGTCCAGTAACGTGGAACCCACCAGGGGGGCCTCTTTGGAGGAGAATGGTCCTGCAGGACTCTCCATGAGGTTGCATGTTGAGATATGTTGAGGGATGAAAGGCTATCTCTTTGTTTGATAAAGTCAATACCGCACAGAGCAACTACCATTTGCTTGGGAAGCTTTTTCATCCGCCCACCGTGGATTTGAAGAGTCTCTGAGGGTCCATCGAAGCTTGGGAACGAAACTACTTGGAGTATGTGTAACGCACAGGGGACAACCTAATGGATCCTACAAGTCGATTGTGTCTGCAAGCCCAGTGCCCCATGCATCTTCAGGGACACCTGGAACTGCATGCCGCGAGGCTATCAACATACGACCTGATGCGGTCGAAAATTGAGGCTTACCTGGATGTCAAGTTGTCATCCAATGCACCGAATGTTGATGCTGTCCATCAAAGCGAAACCAGAACGTGCCACAACTGTGGCAAACCTGGCCACTTGGCAACGGACTGTTGGTCGAGGAAGGCCGGTGCGGCCCCATCTACAGGTGGATACCCTTCGCGCGGCAAGGGCCCCAAAGGAAAGGGGAACCCCAAAGGAGAAGGTAAGGGCAAGCACCCTGGAAGTGGAAAGGCTGGCAAAGGAAAGGGGCAAAGGAAAGGATTCCAAAGGTGGAAAGAAGGACGGGCGCAAAGACATCAAGGCCTTGGATGTTTGGGGTAGCTCGGGGGTCCCGTATCTGACGCTGGTTGAGTATTGGTGAAGCTCAAGCCTCGATCCGTCGTCCTCTATCTCTGGCCACCCATGTGGGGAAGAAGTCTGGAAGACAAAGGAGCACTACGAAGGGCAGATTGACCCAACAAATGATACTGTCTCTACCAATAAATTGGGGCGCAACCTCAGGGGTACAAGACATTTGGTGCGATCAATAGCGCATAGTGTTTGTTGCGTTCCTAAAGGAAGCCCAGACCATGGTCTATTTCTTAGAAGGTTGTAGAGAAGACAATTAGACAGCTTAGATTTGCAAAACCTGAATGTTGGAAATGTTGGGACTTATACACTCAGACAATTAGAGACACTATAGCTTTCATGTTTTCTCCCCTCACCCCGATTTGGTTTGTGCGCTGTCCGAGCCATGCACTGAGAATATCAAAGCATTAGAATCGGGATTCCAATGTTCTTATGTCCCCCCCCCACCCTCAGAACCCGTGACATATTCGACAATCAGACTTGGACAATTCGATGGGCATTGTTGCCGCCCCTCCCCTTTTGTAAGTTGCAGCGTTTTCAAAGCCCAGACACCCAGTGGCGCCCCTGTTTTCCCATTCTGTGTTTCGGGGGTTTCCCTTTCTGTTGGCTGTGCTTCTTCATTTGGCCACCCCCAAACTCCCCAAAGGTCGATCGAGCACTCAGAGCTCAGAGACCCAGATTCGTTCGCTTTGCGCCCGTGTGTCTTTGTCGGCCACGGCCAGCCTTCGCCACGGACTCCTTGCACCTCATGGCCGCCGCGGCCAATGGCACGGTGCACGTCTTCCGGAGCCCCCCTGAGGCAAGCGCACGGGCGCGCGCGCGCGGGGTGGCCACGTTCCCCCGCTGTCCCCTATGATTGGTGCCAAATTTCTCACCGTTGTTCTTTTTGGGGGAGTTTGGGATTCCCTGCTAAAATAGACTGCAGACAAAAGTTGGTACCCTTATTCTAACCTCTCAAGTCTGAAGGACCTAGTTTACATGGAACTTAAATCAAGAGACCCATCTCATTGGTCCTTTTTGGTTTTGGTTGGAAAATGTTCTGGCCCTGGTTTACCTGGTGGTTCAATCAACTACCAGGGCCATCTATACACCTATGTTCATTGGCGGTGTCCCCCACAGTGATCCGGAAATCCGGAAACTCACTAAAAGGGGACAGCCCCTTTTTTGGGGGTTTATTGATCCGGGGTCGACATTCACATGGAACCCAACAAAGGGGGGCAACAAAGGGGGGCCCAAAGCATATTCCTCTACCGGCTATGTTAGGCCCTCGAGCCACCCGGGAAGGTTCGCGCTAGGGTTTTTGCGGGTTGCAAGCTTGCCCCAAGGCTGTGGATGCAAGTGCCCAAGCTGACACGGGTTCAGGCATGGCACCCACAGGCCTCTGCATTGTGAGCAGACCCTTTGAGGATGCATTGAGGGGTGCCAAGGAGCCTATGAACTCACTGCGGTCTTTGCAGGGTCCGACAAAACCTTGGCTTGTTGCCCCAACCTGCTGCAAAGCTGTGACCATTGCTGTAAGGAACTCGCCTGTCAGCCCGCTTGGAGCTATTGTCATGGCCTTACGGGTTTGTTTCATTTTCGTAGCGTAATTGTCTGGCAAATATGTCCTGTTATGCATGTTTCAAGCACATCAGCAGGGCCGATCAACATTGTCTGGCTTCAACAGGACCATTTTGTGGAAAGTATTTGTCTAGTGAGTTTCCCTGGCGGTATGCCGTGTAAAGGACCCCATGTGGCTACCCATATGATAGGAGTTCACTACGGTCGATCGGTATGTTAAGAAAAACCTCGTGATTTGACCAGGGTCTGGGATATTTCTTGAGCGTTTGATGGGGAATAAGAAATGGTGGTGTCAATCCAGAGTCTTGACCGGATTTCTAAGTTTGGTAGATGTTGGTCAGTTAAGTTGGTAGGTTTCGTGAGTTCTTTTAAATGGTTCAAGTGATAGAAGACTGCAGTATATGGACCCCCGGCATCGGCAATCCAGATCTCCTCCCGTAGCCCGTGCCGAGTCCAGATGCGATTCAGATGCCGGGAAAACGCCTCTGGAACCCCGTGGTCCTTCCCTTCTTCCCGTAGCTTAATTGTTCGGTTTTGCTAAAGATGCCGCACTTGGTACAAGGCGTAAGAACAGAAGCTGATAGAACAACATGTTCCAGACTGATTCTCCTTTCCTTTTTCCTTTCTGCTTTCCTCTCCTCGCTTCTGCTCTCCTTTCTCCTTTCTCCTTTCTGCTTTTCTCTCTTCACCTTTCCTCTCCTTTCTCCTTCTCCTTTCCTCTCTTCTCCTCTCCTCTCCTTTTCCCCTATCCTTTCTCCTTTCCTCTCTTCTCCTCTCCTCTCCTCTCCTCCCCTTTCCCCTCTCCTTTCTCTTTGTCTTTTTGACCTCTCTTCACATCCTATCTTTTTTCTTGCGCCGTTTCCTTTTTGTCTTGGTTATCACAAGTTGTTCTTGAGCTTGTTTTGCCTTGTTGTTCAAGATGCCTCCTAACTTGGTAGGCCGACCCCTATTAGGTAGAACCTATTTATATAATAGCGAGCCCCCCCCCCCACCATATTATATAAATAGGTTCTATACCTAATAGGGGGAAGGTCTACCAAGTTAGGAGGCATCTTGAACAACAAGGCAAACAGGGCAGGTTCTACCAAACCAGGGTTGCAACACCACAAGGAGTCTTCCCGTAGTTTTCCCGTAGGCCGTGCCAAGTCCAGATGCGTTTTCCCGGGCTTCCCGGCCCGGGAAAACGCATCTGGAGCCCGTGGTCCATCCCGTCTTCCTATCGGGCTCGGGAAAACGCATCTACCCGCAACGGCACCCCCGAAGTGATGCCCAGACGGCTGTTCATGTGTGTGTTTGTTGGGGCTTGCGTATAAGTATATAAGTATGCTGGTCAGATTCAGTGGGGAGATGTTTATTTGGTGTTTGGAGCGTTCAAGAGTCTCAAATAATTTATTTCTACTCCATTTCAGGGTCTAATTTCTTGCCTCATAAAATTTCTTAACACACTGACGGACCGCAGATGAATGCAGAACATCCACTGGGTGAAACTTGACCCATACTGGGTTGAACATCCAACTGCTCACCTGGGGTGAAACGAGCCGACCTGGGGTGAAACGAGCTCACCAGGATCTGGGCTCTTTACTTGGGCATCAACGTCTTTTTCGAGGCTTTTTGCAGAATTTGCAGATTCACAATCCCCCCCCCTTCCCAGGAAAATGGGGTACCGGGCACATGCCGAAAAGAAACAATGGCGAAACTTGCAGATTTCACCAAGGGAGCCCTTCAGCCAAGTGCCATCCATTGGCCGAACGCGGGTTTCGTTTTGGCGTCCGTGAATCCAGGGATCATCCGAGTCTCGCGGGGGCAACTTGCGATCCGCAGGCTGTGAGTTGCGTCGCCCCATCCAAAGCTGCAAGTGCCGGGGCCCCGGTGGGGCACCAAAAATGGGAGAGACCCCCCCCCCAAGCAGAGAAAAATGTGGTTTCCCTTGTGGGTTCCATTGGCATGGTGCGCCGGTTTTGGCGCATGGCGATTCCGTGGTTTGCCGTGAGTTTCCCTTCGGTCTCACTGCAAACGCCTCCACAATCGGGGGGCTTCCCTTTGCTTTCCCTTTGAGACAACCCCAAAGGGGTCCTCTCAAAGCAAGGCACACATTCCCCACACCTCTCCGTATGGGTGTGACTCAAAATTAAAGACCTAGGCTTACGCAGATGTTAGTCTTTGGTTCCATTTGTCAAGGTGCCATTTTGGTACATGTCTTTGAGCCACAGCCATATGGCTGGATTTGGGTGGGTCCGGCCAGAGTTCTTAGGGCTTTTTAATTGCAATGATCGAATCATACATTGAACCTCCACCAGCCAGTTTTGCTCAGAGGGGAAGAATTGCTCAGTACTCAATGTATGGAAGTGGTTCTGACTTTTGAAGCTCCTTGGAAAATCATGAAGACTTGGCAAAACTGTAGGAACGCCTTTTGAGGGGGAGTTCCTTTTTTTATGTTGAAGCAGCGATGGACAAGAGCCATACCCTGCATGACAACTGTTCAGGTCCCAGGGTGTTGAAATGAAACTTCTGGTGACTCTTGGTAGCCAAAGACAACTTGGAACAAGTCTGCCAGCTTTTCTGCGGATGAAATGCCAGAACTCATGGGAGAACCATATTAATCAGGCTCACCTTCTGGAGATGCCGCTAGGTTGAGTCACGCTTGCGGGGCTTCTTTGACGTGACTGCTATTGAAATGCGATTGCCGTTGTTCGGTGCTGTATACCACGTTTCTAACATGTTTGCAGAAGCTGTCACTTTAGCCATCATCAGATATAGCTTGTGTGGCAATCACGATTGCACGTGCTTAGTGCTCTTTCACTTTTACTAGAATGATGGTGTTGCTGCTTTTGTTGTCTTGTGTTGCCTTTCTCAGTGTGGATGGAACATTAATGTTCTGCCTGCAATCTGTATTGCCAGGAGCGGCAAGAAGAAGTGAAAGAAAAGGCTGGACAAATCTCAGTAATCGCGGCCGGGACACGTTGGACTGGGACGAACACATGCCAGATCCCAAGTCATGTGGCAAAACGCACTTTTGTTCCTTGCGTTGGCTGTCAAAAAAAACAGCCTCATCTAAGTATGAGGTCTGTGAGCTGAAAGCACGTTCAGCATGAGGTATCAGGTGTTAATGGTCTAGATATAGGAGCCGGAAGCCGATGCTATTTGGAGGGAATCGCAAAGAAGCCCCAAAAGAGTCATACATGGAAGCCGGATGCAGCATGCTGGGTCGAAAGCTGCGGGAGGCTTGACTCCACTGTCTTTGTTCGCGTCAGCGTCGCTGTCCTACAAATTCAAGGCTTGACTCAGTAGTTTTGGGTTTTGAAGCTCCACAAAAAGGGGAGGGATAAGTTCCACTATTTGATGTTGAAGCAGCGGTGGACAAGAGCCATGCCCTGCATCACAAGTGTTCAGGTCCCAGGTTGTTGAAATGAACGGATCTATCCGGTTTACTATGCTGGTTTTGAGGAATCCCTCAACATCTCCATTTGCTCCTGGCGTTCCGGGAATTCGTCCAGTGAAGGCTAGCAGGGCCGCCACCTGGTGGGCGTGAGTTGAATCCGCTTTGGGTTCAGAGACCGCCCCTAGACGGCCCCCAACCGCGATTTTCTCAATGCATTTCGGTGTTGCTTGCGCTGTTTTAGGGGTACATCCAAGCCTCTAAACTGGTTGTTTGACCTTTGGTGGGTTGACAACAATGGTCCCCGAGGGATTGTTGATGAACGCTGTGCGCGCAGTCTGCATGGCCAGGAGCGACAAGAAGAAGTCAGAGCTCAGGCTGGAGAGAGATTTGCGGCCCGCATGGAAGCAAGTTCACAGGTGAGCCACTTGCTCAAAACCCGGGTAGATGAAGGTTTGTAAGGGACAATCCCAACCATATATCGCTGCGGGAATCCGCCTTCTTCATTCTTGAAGCATGGTTCTGGGTCGACCATTTGAATACCGGGTTTTGATTGTAACTCAGGTAAACAAGCGCATTCAAATAGATGGCATGGCTTTCGGTGGGTTTTAGTGCCAGTGTCATCTCTTTGACCAAAGAGACACGTTGTTCAGCATATGTCAGCATAGTGCTCCAACTATGTCAGCATCGGTCAGCACACACGTCGCCGATGTGAAAGAAACACTGTTGGGACCAAGTGTAAGGGAGGAGAAGCCGCCAAAAAGACGAGAAACACTGTTTCCCCCTTCCCCCCCTGTGTCACCCCCCCCCCCCCCGCTTTGGGAAGCATCCAATATGCGAGCGTTCTCGACCTGTCGCAGACTCCATCCGCCCCGAAAGAGGCCGCGGAGGAGAGATCGATCGGTTATCCGCAAGCCTCAGCCCTCGTTTCAGGTTCAGCAAGCTGCATGGTGGATGCAAATGTCGCAAAAAAAAGAGCCAAGCACATGGGAATTTGAGGAGAGTTTGCTTGCTCCCCTACTTGCAACTTTTGGGGCATACACTGCTTTTGTCTTCAGAGTTCCTGGACCAGGTCCTTGTGGCTCAAACATCCTCATAGGGTCTTGAGTTCCTAGGGAGTGGATTCCGCCCTTTTGGTGGGTCCACCAAAACTGGTGAATCCCAAACAGAGGCCCCCATTTCGGTTTCTGAGGGCAAGGGGCAATTGTCTTTTGGATTCTCGGTAGTTTGCCAGTCGAAACAAAGGGAAAATCCGCTTGGCCTCCATTTAAAAAAATCCTGGAGAACGGGAGGTGACTCCCGACAGCAAACCTGCTCAAGACATGTGCAGAGCGCAGAGCCATGGGTTGACGAAACCGCTGTTGAGGTGTTCCTTTTTAGGGGTAACCTGTCACTCGGGAGATGCACGACGGGACACCACTGCCCGGAGGAGCAGTACCTCCTTCCTTGGTCGTGTTTGTTGTTTTGGCCCGGCCTTTCGACCTTTAGAATGCAACTTGTTCTCCACTTAGAAGTTGATTTCTCTCTTTGCAGGGGGTCACTTGAACCACTGCAGCTTCAAGTACGTTCGGATCTCCATCGCCCAGTGCCTCGTTTCTCCCCTGCTGATTTAAAGGAAAGCGGCTGGCAAAATTGTTCTCAAGATTAGGGACAGGTGATTGGTGTCCCACGCCATCCAGACAAGGTTCCCCTATTTGAGACATATGGGCGTGGCCCCAAAATGAAACCCTGGTAAATGGAAAAGTAGACTCAAACCTGTAATCCTCTGGATCTTGAATTTTGAGCCACATCATACGGTGTTGCGTGGGTTGAGTTTCTTTCAAAATCGGGGCACCCTCAAGCGCAAGTGGTAAATGTGTCTTATCCCTGGTGGAGTTGGCACCGGAATCCTCGTCCGCCAGGCCTTCTTCTTCGCTTCGACTTGACCGCTATTCGGTTGGATATCTTTATATTTTAACTGTTTGGTTGAAATCAAGTTGGGTTTTCTACTAAACCCCCAAAAAATTAAACCTGGATCTTTAACTTTTGGGGAAATCAAGTTGGGTTTTCCAGTAAAGTCCCCAAACATAGGGTTTTTTCCACTAAACCCCCCCAAAAAAGTGAACAACATTTTGCCGGGCCGTTGCAACCAAGATCGAGGGCCTCGGTGTTTCCAGGAGGACGAGGACTTGAGCGACTGGAACTTTGTGGAAGTTGACCGGCCCGGATGCCGAGCCGAAACCCGAAACCCGAGCTGTGTGGAGGTCTCAAAGCCTTCCCCAGAATTAGCTCCCCTAGTTTTTTTGTCTTTGCTTTTTTGGGGTCCCTTTGTTTTCCACGAGCCAGGCAAACAAGTTGGATTTTTTTTGCTGGGGTGCTATTTCCAGCCTAGTGGACGGAGTTTGCGAAGCGAAAACGGAAAGTCGTGTCTGAGGGTCCACTAGGTGGCGGGTGGCAAGCCCCTTTGGGAGGGGGGGATTCACTGGTTGAAGGGGGATTCCTGTGAGCTCCTCCGGTTTTATCCTAAGTTAACATTGGTTTGCCAAGGATTGGCAGGGCTCCGTTTTGTTGTTTTCTTGGGAAGGGTCCACCGCAAGTTCATGGCCATTTCGCTCAATGTTTGCCATGCGCGGGTGAGACGTCTTGAACCCGTTTTGTTCCATGTGGGTTGCACTGCTGTCTGGTGACTGGAATTCTGTTCTATTTGCTTACGGACTGGCGAGCCTGTTTGGTCGGGAGCCGATTTCAGTCCTGGAGGGCTGCCAATGTTGAGATTCGTCGCCCCTGGTTTTCGTCCCGCAGAAGAACCCCTGATGAGGCGTCGCTAAGGGGGCTGGGTGGTGTTTCCAGGGGGTGGGTTTCTAGGAAGGAACTCAGCCCTTGCAACTTTTCCGTCAGTTTGGTCAAAAGCATGACACTGACGGGTTATGAGGAAGACTGCTGAAGCGGCGCTACTGTGATTTAGTCTAGCCAGCATGTCTCGTTTCCACCTTCGGATCAATGCATGGAAGGATGTGGCATACTTGTGCCCTTTGCCGGCCACATGGAAACATATGGACTGCAAGGAATGCGGGGCTACCCAGGCTACGTATTTTCAATTTGGGGAAGGGGTTTTCTGGCAACTAGTAGAGAACTGGACAGCATGCACGCGGGCGTAGGTTCATTGGTCCTTGAAGGAGACCAGATTCTCTTTGACCGAATCTGGTGGATGGCTGCTGTGACCAAACCCTCACCTGTTGTTGAACGGTTGGGGTTTGAAGCACCGGTTATTCCAAGATGCCGCCTCGAAAGGGTGCGCGCGCCGAGAAGCAACATGTTGGGTTGCCGGGGGGGGTTGGCCCGGGACGATGGCGAGTTGAAAGTGCATCGCGTTGAACAGGTGCTCAAATGTGCCACGAATCACTGCATTTTCCAGCATGCCTCCCAGGAATGTCGCTTACCAAACCCTGCAACTTCGCGTACCCGAGATAACAACTGGAGTACGCTGCCGTGACAGTTCCACGTTTGTTTTATCAGCGGACGTATAAATATATATATAGATATACATATGTATATGTATGTATATATAAATAGATATATATATATATATATACACATAAATATAAATAGATATATGTATATAAATAGACATATATGTATATATATATATATGTATCGATCTATATATATATATACGTATATATATATATATATTATAAATATAAATATATATATATATATATTATATACGTACATGCCTCCGTGTTATGCTTTAATTGGGTGGGTTTCCGACAAGCCCCAAAGCACTGTCAACCTAAACACCACAAGGATCAGTCCTGAGCCTACCACAGAAAACAAGTCCAGGTGGAGGCCCAACGTTCCTTTTCGAAGTCTAGCCTGGGAATCTGCAGCATGACTTCTCGAACTGCCTCCCCGGTCGGGTCCGGGTTGATCGCGTTGCAGCAAATCTCGTGTAGAGCATCCACATACCGCACATCTTCATGCCACCACTTTCGCAAGAACGGAATGGGCGATACCTTCGCCAAACGAAGTAGTATGACCAAAGCTAAACCTGCAGACTCCATCTGCCTGAGCACTCAAGAAGGTGCGAGCACGTTACAAAGCAATCCTGCATTGCATCACCCCGGCCGAACATGAACGCTATCGTCCCCACCCCACCCCACCCCACCCCAAAGAGCGGTCGCCTCTCCTCTCATGAACGCTATCATCCCCACCCCATCCCACCCCAAGAGCGGTCACCTCTCATCTCATAAGCGCTATCATCCCCACCCCACCCCACCCCACCCCACCCCACCCCACCCCACCCCACCCCACCCCACCCCAAAGAGCGGTCACCTCTCATCTCATGAACGCTATCGTCCCCACCCCACCCCACCCCACCCCACCCCACCCCAAAGAGCGGGCGCCTCTCCTCTCATGAACGCTATCATCCCCACCCCACCCCACCCCACCCCAAAGAGCGGTCACCTCTCATCTCATGAACGCTATCATCCACCCCACCCCACCCCACCCCACCCCACCCCACCCCACCCCACCCCATCCCACCCCACCCCACCCCACCCCACCCCACCCCACCCCACCCCACCCCACCCCACCCCAAAGAGCGGTCACCTCTCATCTCATGAACACTATCATCCCCACCCCACCCCACCCCACCCCACCCCGGGCCAACCCCCCCCGTCAACCCAACATGTTGCTGTTTCTCTGCGTAGAGTGCACGGTATCGGAAAAATGTCAGTTTTGGTTGACTAGTCATGCATTCATATTATGAGTCGGGGCTTTTTTCTGCAGAGGTGTTTAGTGCAAGAAGGCAGGAAATGACAGGGAAGCCTAGGAAAGGAAGGACATGAAGGGAAGAGGAGAGGAGAGGAAGGTGCCAGCTTGACTTTCTGGATCAGGAGAGAAGCCGCTAGGTTTGCGTTGACATGCGTGTGGTGAATTCTTGGAATTGGACGCTTTTGGATCCCCTAAAATAGACTACAGAAAAAAGGCGGTACCCTTATTCAAACCTCATCCTAAACCCAGGGGGGTGCAACTCGCGAACCACTTTGGTCGGAAATTCTTGGGTTGAGAACCTAGTAGGGTTCCCCCAAATTCGGCCTGGACGGAGGTCCAGCCCGCGGATGGAGCGCAAGGGCCTGCAGGGCCATGTGAACAAGGCCAGGGAGTTGGCACATGGGCTGGCTGCGTTTTTGTTGAGCGCTACCTGTTTTTGGGTAGCTATGAATTTTAACCCGGCTGCCCAGTGGTGTCCTTTTTTCCTTTTTTTGGGGAAGGGTTCCCCTTTCAAGGCAACCAACCAAAAAAGGATGTCTTTTTTCCCCATGGCCACTGGACATCTGAGTTAATAGGCGACCACCGCACAAGTGGTTGGTGGGCGTGAGTCCACACCCAAATGATGTTCACCAACGGGCCCCCTATCAAAATTCACACCCAGGCCCGAGTTGGGAAACGACACCATTTTGGATTTGGGGTCCAAATCCTCGTTTTGACACATCCCCGTATGCGATGGTAGTCCATTGTTGTGGCAAACTGTGACCTTGAGAGGTATGGGTTCTGCATAGCTCCATGGGGATCAAAATGGGTTGTTTCAATTTCACACCGCCCTTGATGCCAAACTTAATCCCATGCTTAATCAGGGTTTGCACTCCCCCTCAAACTGTCTTGGGGGGAACAAACATCAAAACAGAAGCAGACATGGTTGCCATTTGTCCTTGGATTCCTTAGCTTTCTCAAGACTGGGTTTCGTGAACCACCAAGGTTTGAACAACCGCTCTCTCTAGGTTTGACCTTGAGGAGCATCACCCCGCTTAGGGAAACTCACGGCGGGGACCCAGGCATCATATGCTCAGCACTTTCTGCCATGGGACCATCCAGAACCCCCCCTAAAGGAGGCCGCCCCGGCCAAACCGCGGCAAGGATTGGCAAGGCATGCTCTGACTAGACCATATTTGGGCCTCGTACTTTAAGGCCCCCCCCCCCCCGAGGCATCTTGCGAGAGCGATGGGGAGATCTCATTCCGAAACTCCAAACACCTCTCAGAGTTGGACAGTTACGGAAGTCGTATTCCTCCTGGCTCATTCGGCCGAACACCCAAGTCATTCTTCCAGACCTTGGTGCTATGGCCAAGGAACAAAGGGAGTATTCGTCTTGATTTTTCGCCGGAAAACATGGAAACAACTCAGCAAGCATTCCCTGGGAGCATTGCCTTCGGCCCACGTCCATCACCTGAGAGGCCCCCAGGGATCAAAATCCGATGCCCTCCCACGTCACTGGCATCGAGCTTCATAGTCTCACCTGGGGTGAAACGAGCTCACCCGTGCAAGTCCTTTGCTTGAACCTTTATTTCGGGTTTCGGCAAACACTGTGATGGCTGTTGTCCACTTGGCTCTACTGAAAGTGACCGGCCTTTCTTTGGGAGTGCCATTGAAGCATGGCAACTGGGTATGACGCCAAACATGGCTGGGTTTTGTTGTCTAAACCCAACAAGTATCACCAACATCGGCCGTTCATCCCCTGAAACTTGCCAGGAACTCTCCTAGAACCAGGGCTGCCCAATCAGGATTGGCGGGTTGACCCCATAGGCGCTTGGGAAAAAGGGTGCCCCAAGAAACGTCCAGTGCTCAGTGTTCCTTTCATGTGGACAGGGGCTTTGTTTCCCTTGCTTCCCTTTTCCCCAATGCATGGGATGCTATCCCAATTGAAATGAGATGATCCAAACATCCAGTCAATTCTCGACGGAATGCTACGACATCCGAAAACCGCAGGTGAAGACGTTGCTGACTCAGCTCTGGCAGCCCTGCAGAGACTACCTGGTCGGGCCGCCCAGTAAGCGACGGACCAACAGGTTGTGCTAGTGGTTAGGCCAAAAAGGCCTTTGTCCCCGCCAAACATGTGGGTTGTCATAGACAGCCCTGTCCGCAAACCGCGACTTCATGGTGGCTGCTTGGTGATTTGGGGCTGCCGGCTAACCCTCTGTTCGAGAAAGGCACATGCCCATGGCGGGAGTTGTCAAAAAAAAATGACAGATCCCTTGAGAGGAACCGGGAAGGTGCTGCCGCAATTCATCGGACTCATCCTGAGCTTAGGAAGTTGAGACACGGACGCGCTGCCTGGAGGTTTTTTTTTTCCCCTGCTTGACTGAACAGGGAGGTATTTGCATATTAAACAAATCCAGGTTCTTCAGGATATACCTGAAGAACGCATGTATAATACATATACATATATATATATATATACTTGGAGCAGGTATACAGGCATTCCTGAAGTGGAGGGTGAAACCGAAAGTGCCTGGCCTCTCTTTTTTCTTGCGCCCCAAATTTGGGGAAGCCAGACAACTCCGTTGAAGCCACCAGTTTTTGGGTCGATTTGCGAGTTGATCAAAAGGTCCTGTTCATGGGACCCATGGGGGCAAACCACCAAAAGGGAAACTGGGTCCCCCAGTGCCCTTTGACCAACTTTCTTGGCGGAGGGTTCCCCTAAAATGGATAGAGGAAAAATCGGGAACCCTTATTCTACCCTCTCAAATTTGGAGGTAGGAAAAGTTGCCCATCAGTTGGGAGCCAAACCGCTGAGGATGGCCCCGGCGCGGTGGCCTGGGTCCACCAGGGCCCAGAGGAAAGCGAGCCCGGCAAGACTCCTTTGGGGAGGGATCTTCGAGGGGCGCACCATGGTTGTTGTTGGGACACAGTTTTGACATGTTTGCTTATTGTGGTTTAGTGGTTGAAATCCAAATCCACTCAACTGCTAAAATTTTAGTGTTTGCTTCCCGTCCAACGTCAACCAAGGCACTCTGGCGCCTGAAATGTTGTGCAAGGGATTTGTTTATGGGGAACGCGGAAAGTTTGAGGGGAGGCTTTGAGGGGTGCAACCTGGCGCCTGAAATATGTTGCAAGGGAAATCAAGATCGGGAACATGGAAAGTTTCAAAGGAGGCAAGCACCTGGAAAGTGGTGGGACATGACCATCTCCTCAGTTTTGATGTGCCTCATTCAGTACTTAGCTGGGCTGTTCAAAGGCAATTTGTAATCCTTGCCTTGGATTTGCAAAAGGGGTCCCTTTCTAGTGGTTTTCGAGGGGACTGCGGGTCAGGATTGGCCAACACTTCACTTTGAACAGCCCAGCTAGTGAGGATCACATCAATGACATCCTTCAAGGGGGGCCGTGATGGTTTTCCTTGGCGGGCAAGAATGGGGCGCTTGGGCGGCTAAAAGACTTTGGACCCGGGTGTGGCACCCTTAGATCCCCTCTTGTTTGGTGGCTTTCCTATTCAACATGGCCATCCATCTCTAAAACTTGCTGACTCTCAGGGAATGAGTTGGAATGACCCCAAAAAGCTACTCCAACCTACGGCGTTCCTGTATGCGGGAATCCCCAAAACCTCCATTGGCTTAAGAATATGTGTTTTTCCCCTGGTTGGTTGTAAAAGGAATTCATCCCTACTGGACATATTCTTATTTTTTTCCTGAGGCCTGAACCAAATGGAAGAAACCCGGTTCCTTCCACCCGGGCCTCGGCGAAAAAATGCCGGGGATCGCCAGGCAACTTAGTGGGCTCCGGCTCGCCGCGCTCGCCGGCGCTGGCCGGGGCCCGGAAGAACAAAAAGTCGGGGGTCCGATGGCTTCCCCATGCTTTCCAGGGATCCTTTCTAGAAAACCACCAAAAACCCTGGGAAGCAGGCTGGCTCTTGAACAGAACGATGCTTGAAAAGAATGGAAAAGGAATCAACCCCTGGAAAAACCCATCCTACACCCAGGGGGGCAGCTTTCTATGACCTTCTTTGGGGCCGTCATCACCTCACCTACTCAGGCGTAAACTCCTGCCTGAGAGAAGGGATGGGATGTGTTTCCCAATTTGTCCAGACTATGACCACTTTGGTAGGACATGAGTTGTGTTCCCGGGTGGTGAGTGTTTGGTTTTCTGGGGGGGGCCTTGTTTCTTTAGGGAGTTGTTTGGGGACTTCTAGGTTTGCTTTTGGGGTTCTTGCATTCCCAGTTTCTTAAGCTTGTTGGATGTTGTAGGTTTCTCGCAATTGGGGGGTCAGTTGGCATTGTTTCTTTTGGGATTCGGGGTTTACTCTGTTTGCTTGTGGGCTTTGTTAGGATGTTTGATGTGTTGGTCCCTTGGTCGGATTTTGTGGATTTTGGCTTTGCGTTCCCTTGGTTCCTTTCAGGTGTCATTTGCTGTGTTTCTTGTTTTTGTGTAGTTCGTGTCAGTGTCTTGGGGGTTACTTGGGTTCTTTGGGCTGCCTTTTGTGTTTCTTCTTTGCTTTGTTTCGGTTTTCTGTGGATTCTCTTGGGCTTTGTGTTTGTTGCTGCAGCTTTGTTTGTTGCCTGGCCGTCTTTGGAGTTTCTTCTGGTGTTATCCGAGCCCCGTCGCTCGTGGGCCGTGGCCGCAGGGCTTCAAATGGAAGTCAAGCATGGAGCCATAGGGGTTTAAAATGGGATTCAAGCCAGAGGGGTGTTGCGAGTGGGGTTTCGTGGCATTTCATAGGGGTTTAAAGCCCGAACCATGTTTAAAGCCTCAACTCGCTCCCAAAAGTATCAGATCTCGGTCGAACACTCAAGGACGCAAGTGATCGGTCCTGGCAGGTTCCTCCCATTTTGTGGGTGAGGTTGTCTTTTTCTGGAGCTACCACGCTGGTCAAAAACAAACGAGGTCAGTAACAGATGCCCTTACATTTCTCGCTGGTACTGTCGACAATTCCGAGACCAGGGCGGACGCTGAGGCGAAGGTTCCTTTGTCGCCTGGACCATGAGAAGCCCCAAGTTTGTCTTCGGAGTGTCGCCGCCGTCTTTGCGGATCCGGAAGCCCGGGGCAGATCTACCCCTTTCTTTCCGGAGACTGAGCGAGCCCAGGCGGCCTGGAAAGACGAGAAGTTGTAAATGGAAGCTGCCCAGTAAAGGTTCCCCGGGCTCGTACTTGGAGCGTGGGCAAGGGGCATTCCGTTTTGTCTCGGTTTCGCACTGGAGCCATTTGTAGCTGGCCATGTCCAAACGAGCTCCGTCAAGGACAAGTCCCCACAACATCTGTACCAAACAGATGGAGCCATCCGTTTGGATGCATTTAAACGAAGAGCATCAAGGAACCCCGTGTTTCTTGGCGATCCGCCACCCGCGTAACCCCAGCTGTTTAATTTTGATCTACACCCAAATAGTGTGATTTGCCAAAAACGGTAGACTCGCGACGACGGCTCATGCCTTTTGTCTTGGACGAGAAACGCAAAGCAAGACGTATGTTTTCACCATGTCTCCCCTTGTTGTTTTTGCTGGGCCAGTTGGCTTATTTCTTTTTGGCGCTTTTCCCAGGCCTCCAACAATTGACCTGGTTACCTTTTTTCTGGAGGAGGTTCCCTTGTACATCAACCAAGACAAGAGTGCCAATGCTTACGGACCTCCACTAAGGGTCTGAGTTATTTGATCTTGTGTGTTTTTTCCAGGGAAAAAAAGAGGCCAGCGGTGACTCGGCAAGCCAGCCATCCAAACCATCAATCTTCCACTTGCTCAAGAATATGTTTTTGTTATTTCCCCCTGTTGGTTTTAAAGGAATCTATCACTATTGGAAATATTCTCTCATTTTTTTCCAGGGGACTTCTCAGCAAATGGAGGCAATCGGTGCGTCTCCGCCGATCGATGGATTTGGGACGCCATGGTGGGCCCTGGGTTAGGCAAAATATGGTTTAAACACCACCTTTGCCAGGAAAAAAACATCATCCCCAGCGGTTTAAAAACATGAAAAAAGCCAATGGCCCCACCCTACCACTACCAACATGTTTAAACCAATGGGTGGCCCCAGGGCCCGTTGCTGCCATTGCCCGCCGCCATGCTGGAGCTCTTCACGCCCAAGTCCTCAGTCGTGCGTCGCCTTCGCCGCGTTCATCGGGGCGAGCTTTTCTCGGTCCAACAACCATGGCTTACTATATGGCTGTGGTTGTCAAAACCAATGGGATCCCAATTTGGGATAGGTGCACCACCCATTTTGGAACCTATTTTAGTGGTTGGATTGGGAGGTTCACTGGGGGCACGATTTGGGTTTTGACCCAGCGCCATGCAAACGCTTAAAAAATAACAAGTTGGCTCGGCCCAATACACTTGCCCGGGACGAAGTGATTTTGCCGAAGGCAAAGAAACCACGAAGGCCCCATGGAATCCCTAGGTTTTTGCAGTAGTGCCCTTCGCTCTCCTTTTTTGGGTGGAGGGTTCCCCGACTAAAATAGCCTACAGCAAAAAGGGTACCCTTATTCTATCCTCTCTACTGGAGGTCCTAGTTTTCATTTGCCCCGGGCGGGTTCCCATTTTTGGGGCTGGTATGGAGAAAAACAGCCGGACACCAATTCTGGGATCCCCCATGTATAGCAGGCATCCTGCCTTGTGGCTTGATATGTATATTGAAGAATTTGATCGGTCAATATGGGGTTTTACATCCATTGCATCCGCAGTGTGGCTGTTCAAGCGTGAAAATGTGCGAGCAGCGCACTTGGACGGTTTGTTGTTTCCTTTTGGGCCCCAAACCGGTAACCCTTGAATCTATAGGTTATCAGCCGTAGGCCCCTAGCTCTAAGCAATGGACGGTTCCCTTGTGCCAGTTGATGGATCCAACATGCCTGTGGATGCTGCCGGAGCTAGCTCCAACAACGCCACCGGCGGCGGTGTGCGAATGTTCGCATCAAGCGCTAATGCGCAGTACAACCGCACCCTGATGAATTCCCTTCAACTGTACAATACCGCAATCTTTGCTTTTGGGAATGATGCAGCCATTAGGTCTGAAGCCGAAGCCCTGCATCAAGCAGCTGTCACGCATCTGCAAGCGGAAAACCGTGAGGAGCTCCGTGTCGCACAGAATCAGCTGCATGCACACTATGCCGAATGTGCGCAAGCCCAGTCGCATAGAATTCGTGAATACGAACAGCGAGTGAGCGACGAGTTCATTCAAGAAGTGAACTTCGCTGAAGCTAGGATAAGCCAAGTGTGTGAGGAAAATGCCCAAGCATTGCATGAAGCGGAAATGGGACACAAAACAACTGAGTTTAGGCAAGCCATTGAATCCACCCTGGCGGAAGCCCAGCAGCTCCTTCATGAGCAAGCTGCCAAGCACGCCGATGACACAGCCCGTGTTGAAGCGAAAAACGCCTCGATGAGCTGAAGAAGTATCAGAAGCAACACGACCTCCGCGAGGATGGATCGAAGCCCAAAGGGGTAGGTGATACCCGAGAGGATTCACCAGAGTTGATGACCGACGACATGAAGTCAGCTCGGTCCCAAAGGTCAATGTTGGACCCGTTGACCCATCCGTTTCAATATGCAAAGGAAAAGTTGAGGTCGCTTGTTACCTATGACGGTTACGGGGATGAATATACCCCTAGCGTGATTCCAACTGCCGAATGCGAAGCACTGCCCGCAGATGCTCGCGATCCGCAAGGACCAGCTGAAAAGCCATCAGGTAGCAGCCGATCCCCGGTGAAAACAAGTGCACCGGTCCCACCCCTGCAGTTCTCTCAGGGGCCAATGTCAACTGACCGCAAGCAGGGTGGCAAGCCTCCCGGCGGTCCGCCACCTGATGATGATGGCGATGGCGATGGTGATGAAGACGAAGGTGATGGCCTCGGGCCTAACCTCGGCCAAGAAGCATTCGCCAAAATGTTGATGAAGTTAGTAAAAGGCCACACGAACGATGAAAAGCCCAGAACCCGCGAAAGCGAGACGTTGCGATTCAAGGAGATGCCAACTCCTGAAACGTACCGTGAATGGAAAACATCGGTTCGTGAGGACGTCCGCGCTGCATCTGACCGTCCAGACGAGGCTTGGCCTTGGATCATGGAAGTCTGGTCCGATCGCGAGGACAAGAAGAAGCTGTTGGAGGAGCTCGGCGAACCGGGAAAATTCGTGACCCTAGACACGAAGATTCTCGCAGCGCTCACGCGTTCAGCGAAAGGCGATCTGGCTCAGCGAATCCTAACAGCAAAGGAAGAATGTGCCAAGGAGGGAAAGGCCATGAGAGGAAGGCAGGTCTTGTTTATGTTTGACCAATATTTCAAGACCAGTGAAGAAGCCGGAAACCTCTACTCCTTGGAGGACCTGTTGCGTGTCTCGCGACACGGCGAAGGAATCATTGATCTCAAACGTTTCCTAAACGCTTGGGATTCCGTGATCGCCGGCATGAAAAGGCCGCCGGAAGAAAAGGTGTTGAAAGACATCTTGCTTCGCCAAGTGAGAAGCTGCCATCTGTTGCGGTACGACATTGACACATATGATCGTTGCCGTGATGATGATCCCAACAAATCGTACGATTTCCTAATGCGTTGCATGAGGGATCTAATCGAGAGGGATAGGCTCCGCGAGAACCGAGAGCGCGTGTCCAAGGTCAATGCCAGTAAAGCCCCAACGCCCAAGGCTGGTGCTGCCGCCCCTGAAAAGAGGGACCCCAAGAAAAAGAGCGCACCTAAGCCGAAGGACACCGAGGAAAAGTACTGCTTTGACTTCCAGAAGGGCTCGTGCACGAGGGGGGCAAACTGCCCTTACGCGCACCGCAAGGAGCCGCGAGGACGCTCCGCGACCCGCGGCAGGCCAAGTTCCCCCAAAGGCGGTAAAGGAGAGAAAGCACCGTGTTCTTTCTTTGCCCAAGGGAAGTGCACTAGAGGTGACAAATGCAAGTTTAGCCATGCCTCCACGGGCGGCAAATCTGCCGCTGCGGCATCGAGCAACGAGGCCAACGCAAATCCTGCGGCCAAGAAGCGTGCAAATTCGCCTAAGCCTAAGCCCAAGGCCAAGGCCGCCGCAGTATGCACTAGGTACGCCATGTTTGCCAAGCCGATCAATCCCATTGGGGTGTCGTTTGACACCAACGCTCATGTGCATGAGATCCCCGCCGAAGGCGATGGTTTCAAGCTTGAGTATGAGGAACGGCAGTATAACAGGATGTTTCCAAATGCTAAGGACTGCCCTAGGCCGACCAAAGGGACTAATAAGGCAGCGCGCAAGGCCGCGAACCAGTTGAGTGCCGTAATCAAAGCCATTGAGGATGGAGCCCAGCCCGCTTGTGGTTTCATGTGCGATGTGGAATCCGATTCCATCTCAAGCCTATCGTGTGATGAGTGCCTGAGAATTGCCATGCCGCCTCACGATGTTCGCAAGGATGTCGAAGCGCCAAGGGCAGCCACCCCTGCACCAAAGGGAAAGGACGTGTGGCTTATTGATTCCGGTAGTGAGCAGGACCTCATCAGCAAAGCTGCACTGAGGAATGCGTCCAAGGCAATTCGGAAACAGGCACCTCAGCCTATTCGCCTTGTGACTGCAAACGGAAACATTACTGCTTCCGAAATCGCCGACATCAATGTCGATGCATTGTGTGAGCCTGCTCAGCCTTACATCCTCGAGAGTTCTCCCGCAGTGCTGTCGCTGGGTGTGAAGTGTCTGGATCAAGGATATTCCTTCCATTGGGAATCCGGGAAGGCGCCAACTATGGTTCGCCCTGATGGTGCTCTGATCCAGCTCAAGGTTGATGGTCATGTGCCATACATGGAGTCCAGCTGTGAAGCTGAGCCATCGTTGAGTGCAGTAGCAGCATCCAAGCCAGCGCCTGCACTGGTTCATGACGAAGGCATCGACGAAGGTGATGATCCCGACGACGAAGTTGAGCGGTTTGTTAGATCCCGCAAAGAGCAAGATCTGGTTGCCGAAGCGAGTACCAAAGAGCACTTGTTTGCACACTATCCGAAGAATCCCTTTTGCCGCACTTGCCAACGTGCCAAGATGCTTGCCCCATATGCAAGATCGAAGGGCGGGCAGGGAAGGCTCGAGACGAAAGCGTTTGGAGATCACATCATTGCTGATCATGTGATTCTCAAGGCCAACATTGAGCAGGGTATCAAAGGTGAATGGTGTGCTCTTGTGATCAAGGACGTGCATACGCAGTTCAGGTACGTTTACCCATCGACCAGCAAAAGCACGGAGCAATCCGTTGCAGGGATCCAGCATTTCATTTCCGGTAGGGATGAGGTTGAAGTTCTCTACACCGACAACTCCCGGGAATTGAAAGCCGCAATAGAGCAGTTGGGGTACCGTCATCAGACCTCCATTGAATATGTTGATTCTTCCAAATCTTTCGTGGAAAGGGAAATCAGACATCTGTTGGAGGGAGCACGTGCGAACCTTGTTCAGTCAGGGTTCCCACTGTCGATGTGGCCATTTGCTATCCAGCACAATGCAGTTGCGACCAACATCCTGCCACAGTTGAATGGAAACGATTCGCCATGGTACCTCAGGTTTAACAAGACCTTTGATGAAGCTGAGATACCTTTTGGAGCAAAGGTACTGTTCTGGAACAACCCTGCTCGAGCAGACAATCAGGCAGGCAAGACTTCGCCAACATCAAATGAAGGCGTGTTTCTCGGGTACCACATTCAGCCTGGGTTCGCATGGAAAGGCGAGTTCCTTGTCGCAAAACTAGCAGGGCTCGATTACCATATCGAACATGCGTCCCTCACGGTACAGCGAACAAAGCGCATTGAGCTTCTGACTCATAAGTTCATCTTCCCGATGAGGTTGTTGAAAGACCCTGCATCTCATCCACCTGTTGCCAATGCTAGGACACGAGATGATCCTGTGCCGTTGGAGCGTGGGCAAGCCCACATCGAGGAACCCGCCGCATCGGAGAAATCCGAAGCGAAGATCAAGCCTGTCGTGCCTGATAAAGGCGGTGCATTCGACCCAAGCAGAATGCCCGATGGGTCACCAGTACCCGATGGCTACGTGTGGGATGGGGTTCGGCTCGTCCGTAGGAAGGCTGGATCCAAAAGGCCTCCCGATATCCCGTCCGACATGTGGTTCATGCTCGGCAGCCA